TTTTAACTTCACTCAGTTTGCGTATGGTCTGTCATTAGAGCCTTGTCTCCAGCTGAGTTTTTGCTGGTTATTTTGGAGATAAGAGTCCTGTGAACTTTTCTGGCTGGGCTGGCTTCAAACTTCCATCCTCTAGATCTCAGCATCCCTGATAACTATAATTTACAAGTGTGAGCCATTACTGTTCAACAATGTTTCAATTTTCTTAAGCAACTTAGTCTGTGGTAGTTTGTTATGGTATCCATAGAAGGCTACTATAGAAAAACTCTTAAGACATACAGATATAGACATATAAATATACGTAAAATACCCTCATTTTGTTTGTAGAACTATAATTTGTCACATATGTAGCCTTGTATAATCACAATTAAGACTGAGCTGTGCCAGTATAAGACTTCCCCCTGTATATCTTACCCTATAACCACAGACAGCTATAATTATTGACTAGTTTTGTGATATATTTCCCATCTATTACATGAATAGAATTGCATAGTACGTATTTTTAGAGATTTTTTTTCCACTTAGCATATTTCTGAGGTTCATCAAGCTGTGATAACTCATTCCTTTTTACTAATCAGTAATGATTTACTTTAGGAGTATTTTGATTTCTTCTTTTGGTTCCTTATTATAGATTTCTTTTATGGCAACACTAAGGTTTGAACTCAGGTCCTTTTGTTTGAGTGCTAGATATATACTACCACTTGTGACACACTCCCATCCTGTCTATCATAAATTTTGATTATAGGGCTGGAAAGGTGGCTCAGTGGTAGCGTGCTTGCTTAGCATGCATGAGGCCCTGGGTTCAATTCCTCAGCACCATATAAGCAGAAAAAGCTGGAAGTGGGCACTGTGGTTCAAATGGTAGAGTGTTAGCCTTGAGCTGAAGAGCTGAGGGGCAGAGCCCAGGCCCCAGAATTCAGGCTCCACAACCAACAACAAAAAACACAAAAAACAAAAATTTAGATTATAGATTTTTCATTAGTGTTTACAGTAAGTTCCAGAAAACATCTGTTGATTATAAAAGCTACTTTTAAATAATAGCAACATTACATGATTAGAACAAAAGGAAGCTGAGCGCCAGTGGCTCACGCCTGTAATCCTAGTTGCTCAGGAGGCTGAGATCTGAAGATCATGGTTCAGAGCCAACCCAGGCACAAAAGTGCATGAGACTCTTAACCACCAATTAACCACCAGAAAACTGGAAGTGGTGCTGTGGTTTAGTGGTAGAGTGCTTGCCTTGAGCTGAAGAGCTAAGAGACAATGCCCAGGCCCAGAGTTCAAGTTCCATGACCAACAAAAAAAGAAGAGAAAATATTCTAGTGCTGGGAAGGTGGCTCAGTGGTAGAGCGCTTGCCTTGCATGCATGAGGGAGGCCCTGGGTTCGATTTTTCAGCACCACATAAGCAAAAAGGAAAGCTGGAAGTGGTGCTGTGGCTCAAGTGGTAGAGCGCTAGCCTTGAGTTGAAGAGCTGAGGAACAGCGCCCAGGCCCAGAGTTCAGGCCCCACAACCGAACTTCCCCCCTCCCCCCCCAAAAAAAAAAGAAAGAAAATATTCTAAAAACTCAACATTTAAGCCGGGCACTGAAGGCTAATCCCTATAATCCTAGCTACTTAGTTAGGAGGCTGAGATATGAGGATCACAATTCAAAGCCAGGCTGGGCAGGAAAGTCCACAAGACTATCTCCAAATAACCACCAGAAAACCAAAAGTAGAGCTGTGGCTCAAAGTAATAGAGCACTAGCCTTGAACCAAACAGCTCAGGGACAGTGCTCAGGCCGAGTTCAAGCCCCATGACCAAAACAAAACAAAAAACCTGGCATCCTCCATTCCTCCGCACATTTTTTTTGGGGGGGGGGTCGGTTGTGGGGCTTTAACTCTGGTTCTGGGCACTGTCCCTCAGCTCTTCAGCTCAAGGCAAGTACTCTACCAGTTTTTGTGGTGGTTAATTGGAGATCAGAGTTTCACGGACTTTCCTGGTGGGGCTGGCTTTGAACTGAGATCCTCAGGTCTCAGCCTCCTAAGTAGGATTACAGCCGTGAGCCACCTGCACCCAGCACACTTTGAATTCTTTTTTTCTTTTTCTGGTCAGTTGTGGGGCTTGAACTCTGGGCTTGGGCGCTATCCCTGCACTCTTCAGCTCAAGGTGAGCCACTTGAGCCACAGCACCACTTCCGGTGTTCTAATGGTTTATTGGAAATAAAGTTTCACGGACTTTCCCGCCTGGGCTGGCTTTGAACCATGATCCTCAGATCTCAGCCTCCTGAGTAGTAAGGATTACACGCATGAGCCACCTGCGCCCAGCACTTTGAATTCTTAAAGATCCATTTTACATCATCTTTCATTGCTTATGGGTCTCATGTTGCTCAAACTGGCCTTAAGCAATCATCACCCTGCTTCAGCCTCCTGAGTAGTCGGGACTGCCAGGCACCTACTACTGTGCCTGGCTTACGGTGATTTTTTTTTGTTGGTCATGGGGCTTGAACTGTGGGTGTGAGCGCTGTCCCTGAGCTCTTCAGCTCAAGGCTAGCGCTCTACCACTTGAGCCACAGCCCCACTTCCAGTTTTCTGGTGGTTAACTGGAGATGAAGTGTCATGGACTTTTCCTGCCTGGGGTGGTTCTGAACCATGATCCTCAGATCTCAGCCTCCTGAGCAGCTAGGATTACAGGCGTGAACCACCGGTGCCAGCACTATAGTGATTACTTTTGTATTTATTTTCTAATCTTATAATAAAGAATGGTTAATGCAACATATTTACAATATAGTGGAATATTCTGAATTTGTATAGTTCCTCTTACCCCAGCGAGTTTCACACCTCTGATGTGTTTCTTTCAGGCGATCTTCTTTCAGCTTTTTCACAGGAATGGTGCTCAACCACTAAACCACAGCTCTACTTCTCGCTTTTTTAGTAGTGAATTGGAGAGGTCTCACACTTTCCTGTCCAAGCTGGCTTCAAACCTCAATCCTTAGCTCTCAGCTTTCTGAGTAGCTAGGATTATGGGTAGGAGCCACTGGGGCTTGTTTTCTTCCTATTAACACTTTTTTCTCTTCCTTTCCTTTCACTCTCCCATTGTCCTCTTTGGTGCTTGGAACTAAATCCAGGATCTTGTGCATGTTAGGCAAGTGGTCTACCCTGAACAGATAGCTCATTTGCTAATAATGTCTTTCTGTTTGACAACACTCCTTAGCATTTTTTTTCTTTTATTTGGTCAGTTGTGGGGCCTGAACTCTGGGCCTGGGCGCTGTCCCTCAGCTCTACAGCTCAAGACTAGAGCTCTACCACTTGAGCCACAGCGCCACTTGCGTCTTTTTCTGCCTATGTGGTGCTGAGGAATCAAATCCAGGGCCTCAGACATGCAACGCAAATGCTCTACCACTGAGCCACTTTCCCAGCCCCTCTAGTGTTTCTTATAGGATAGGTCTGGTGCAGGTAAGTTCTGCTAGCTTTTGTTTGTTAGGGAATTTCTTTCTCCTTCATTTTCTCTCCTTTTTTATTTCTAAAGTCTAGCTCTGCTGGATACAGTATTCATGAAAAATTAGCTTCTTCAGTTCTGTGAAAAATTTCATGCCAATTTTTCTTGGTTTATAAGGCTTCTGCTGGGAAGCGCGCTGTCAAGCTAATTATGACACTCCTATGTGTAGTTTCTTTTCCCTTCCAGCCTTGAGAATCTTTTATCTTTCATGTTAGAGAGCATGATTCTAGTATATGCTGGGTTAAACTTGAGTTAAATCTGACTGGTGATCTTTGACCGTCTGTTTCAGCCTATGTTTTAAAATATACTCAATGTGTGAATATAGCACTACATGAAAATAAAAACTATACATATATATATATATACATACATGTGTATATGTATATATCCATACATTTGGTATTCATGCTCAAAAATAATTTACTGATGAAATTTAAGGTCATGAAGTTTAGAGATACACTTACCCTAAAAATCTCTGGCATTTAAAAGATGTGCTATGTTGACAAAAATAATTAACTAGAAAGCTTTTTTCTAGATACAGATTTTTATACTTCAAACCCAAATCCCCAAACATGAGAAGTCCCTTTTTATCTTTTTAAATATACACATATAAGATATTTTATTTCAAAAAGCACAAGAACATTATACAAGTTTTAAATTTACATTTTTGCAATAAAAGATATCAATATATGCATTATTTGTATAACTTCATCATGAATGGAATTTGAATCAGTGGTATAAACGTGTTGCAGTCACTAAATATCAATCATCATCACAGTGAACCAAAATGCATAGTTGTTATGAAATGACAAACGACCACTAAAGGTAAACTCACAGCCAATACACCAACATAATAAATTAGTTATATAGATATTTTTTTCTTTACTGTGTCATTAAAATTCTTGCCAGCCCCTCACCAAACATTAGAAAAGCACAGCTATGGAGACATTCTGCTGAACCAGTTCCTTCACGTACTGAAGAAAATAAAGTGACTTGGTTGCTTGTTTGTAAGTAAACTTCATAGACAAAAATTATTTGCAATGATGAAGGGAAACTATTAGGACATCTGAATATAATTAGAACTCTGTAGGGCTGAGGGTAGCACTGAGGAATTCATTCGGTTACAGTGCAGAAATTACAATCTCAACAAGCAGAACTCACTAGGAAATGGGTTCTTTGGCAGTAAAGGTTGGCTAGCCATGCCAGACAGCCCTTCTGGCAACTTTACAGATTAATGTGTTGACCATAAAAACATTACAGAGAAAATCAGCTAATCCTTGCCAAAGGAAGGCTGGTTAATTAGGGTAGATTTCTGTTGCCTGCTATAACCCAGACTTCAAAAAAATCCATATGCATTATATAAGAAAGGGAAATATTCAAATTATTTAATCATAATGGCAAATGTGACTTTTTTTTTTTGCCAGTCCTGGGGCTTGAACTCAGAGCCTGGGCACTGTCCCTGAGCTTCTTTTGCTCAAGGCTAGTACTCTACCACTTGAGCCACAGCACCACTTCTGGCTTTTTCTGTTTATATGTTACTGAGGAATCGAACCCAGGGCTTCATGCATGCTAGGCAAGCACTCTACCACTAAGCCACATTCCCACCCGAAATGTGACAATTTCTGATTATCACTTGTTAATCTCCTTACAAGTTGTTCACTTGAGTTGTATCTGTTTCCTGATTCTTGCCTTTGAGTCATAATTATCCAAGTAGAAAACCATAATTGTGACTCTGATGTCTGCTTATGTCAATCCCTTACTTTTCACATAAAACAAAACAATCTAGCCCCAAATGTACATCACTGATCACTTAGTTAGACATTGATACTTGCATGACTGCTGAATACAAGTGGGTAGGAAAACATATACACATATATGTGACAATAGCAGCGAAGGACAAAGAAAGGGGCAATCTTTGTATCTTTCAAAGTCTTTTAACATTACCCAAGACATTGGAAGGTAAAAAGGAGGGGTCCAGTTTTTCTTTTGTCTGCTATTATGACACATGTCTTGATACAAAAAGTCAAAATCAAGAACCAAGAAGTCATAGACTCAGGAGAGCACTACTATTTATAAACAAAATGGCTCAACCACAGCAAGGTAACTGGACATAGACTACTGATCACATGGCTTTTTTGGTGGTTTATAGTAGTCATAAAATTGGAGTTTATGAAAAGTTTACACAAAGACATAGAAGGTTGCAGAACTGGCGTCATACAATTTACAGTTATGTTCTACTAATTGGGGAAAATTTGGGGAAAATTTCTTATTCTATAAGTAGTTCATATCAGAATGGCTACAGGTTTCTGAAAGTCAGAGATCTCACTTTAGATACTTGCTTTTAGAAATTGAAAATACAACTTGAAACTCAACCAAGTCATTTGTAGATACAGGGGAGGATTATATAGTCTTTGTGCCATCAGGAATGAAAGATGAATGTTCTTATTTTTTGAGGTCCACAGTGGGAAAAAAACTCTCACACCACAGAATTAACAATCTTTCCATAAAGATATTTAGATCAATTTCTGGCTAAAGCAGTAGGTGATGCTTTACAGATATTTCCTTAAAAGTGAATTACGTTTACTTTTATGCATCTTTCAAAATTGAAAAGTATTTTATGGTTTCTGCAATTCCCCTTTAGCTGCAAAGAAGACTATAACATCAGAATCATCAGTGATCCAATGCTAGCTGAACTATGCTCAGGAAAATACCAAATACAAAATTGTGTGTTGAGTTAACCAACATATAAAATGTCCACAATTCTTAGCTGTGACTTCATTTATCAGGTGGATGGAATGAAATATATTAGGACAGATTAAGGAGAATCATTTTTTGGAAATATTAGCTTGGGGTGAAAACTTATTTCTTTAGTGTTCTAGAACATTAAACATTAATCTGTCCTTTTTTCCCTTGAAATGTATGTTTGCTAATTGAAAGTGATACTCCATTAAGGAATATTTTATTGACGTACGTGAATCTGGACATGGAGCAAAAGACCCTCCAATAATTCCCCAGCCCTCAGAAAGTTCTCCATAATTTAAAATCTGTCTTTATTACTGTTGTCATTCGTGATTGTCTTGAGGCAGAGTTGGCGCTCACAGCAACTGCCAGTTGAATCCAAATAACATCTGGTTCGTTTCCTGACTCCTGGCAATCTCTTCTATAATGCAGTGTTGCTGCCAGACCAGATGGAGCTTCCGATATCGCTCACGAGATAAATGAAGGGGATTGCCCCTCCTTTGGGGGGGAAAAATCCAACATGTCAGTTTGAATCAAATAATGGTTACATCTTTATTGACTAACTTAGTATGCACACTTGAGGTGTTCCTGGAGTTGTGAGGAATCACTGGGAGAGGGGTTAAAAAGTGTATCTCTTTACCATTATCCACAAAAAAATGACTTAATGAAGCAGAAGTTTACTCCTTGACAATTCAGGAAATGGGGCTGAGCACACCACAGACATATACACCTCATTTCAATGGCCAGTGAGGTTTATAACCTGAAGTGGGGTTGTATTCTTTTCTGAGAAGTTAGCCTGAATGGCTTTCTGGTCTCCAACAATTTATACAGCCTCAACTTTATAGTCTTTGTATAGAAGTTAGGTCTCAGGCATAACACTTACCCGTAACTATTTTACAACTCAGAAATATTTGGTCCTTAGAATACAATGGACTTACTAGTTGCATAACACGTTTTTTCCTTATCTATTTTTTGAAATGGGGTTTTTCCTATTCTGCCCAGGCTGGCTTCAAACTCCTAAGGACAAGTGATCAGAGTAGTCTGTGAATATGGATGTCTCACTGTACCTGGCTTAATAAGTATTTAAATAAAACAATTATACTGGGCTGGGAAGGTGCCTCAGTGGTAGAGCACTTGCCTTGCATGCATGAGGCCCTGGGTTTGACTCCTCAGCACCACATAAGCAAAAAAAAAAAATAACCAGAAGTGGCACTGTGGCTCAAATGGTATAGCACTAGCCTTGAGCTGAAGAGCTGAGGGACAGCGCCCAGGCCCAGAGTTCAGGCCCCACAACTGGACCAAAAAAAAAAAAACAAAAAAAAAAAACAAAATTACACTTTAATGGTAAGTTCCATAGTTTGTAATATTGTGTAGTAGCTAGTGACTGAAGTTTGACTATTGGTGTTCAAGTATTTTAGATGGTTGTATAATTATTACCTACTTTTAGCTCCCAAGGATCTTTCTCCCTAAATCTAAAGACAAGTCAAATGTTGTCACAATAAAAACCAATCTCTATATGATTGAATAGATCTCAACCCAATCTAGTGAGCCTATTCATTCTGAGCAATGTTTTAAATATGTCTCACTATGTACCCAGATTGGCCTTGAACTCATTATTCTCCTGCTTCAGTATCTGGAGTACTGGTATAACAGGTGTATACTACCATGCTTGGCTTCTTAATCTTTTGGGACCATTGTTAGTGGTCGTACTTCAATAGAATAAGCCAAGAGAAGGACTCCAGTTCCTATTACCAGGGAAGGACACAGACAAGGTCAGAAGCTAATGCTCAAAAAGAAGGAAAGCTGATATATCTTCAGATATTGCAATGGGAACAATAAATACCTACTCTGAAACAAAGTCCCTCACTGGAGACAGAATGTTCTTTTTTCATGTATCAGTGCCACACATTCTAAATGATTCTGAAGAAAGGCTGACTTAAAAAAATAAGACATTTAATCGTTAAGATGCTTTTCAAAGCCGGGCGCCAGTGGCTCATGCCTGTAATCCTAGCATCTCAGGAGGCTGAAATCTGAGGATCGTGGTTCAAAGGCAGCCCAGGCAGAAAACTCCGTGAGACTCTCTTCTCCAATAAATCACTAGTAAACTGTAAGTGGCCCTATGGCTCAAGTGGTAGAGCACTCGCCTTGAGCTGAAGAGCTGAGGGATAGTGCCCAAGCCCAGAGTTCAAGCCCCACGATCGACAAAAAAAAAAGAACAAAAAAGATGCTTTTCAAAAATGAAGGAAAATTATACTTCCAAATTTTGGAAAGGCACAAAGTTACTGAAAATTAGCCATTTAGGATGGTAACATAATATTTTTAATTTTTAACCTATTTAAAAGCCATCTCTATTAGATTTTATTAACTACTATTAACCTTTGTGTTTAAGAAATGTTACCATCCCCATACAATGGTATGACTAAAATAAAAGAGCAAGATACAGGAGGACTGATCAAAACTTTCCCATGAAAAGAAAATCTTACTTTAGCCCAGGGTCTGTTTCTCCATATTCATCCAAGTAAGGGGCTGGATAGGCACAGCCTCGGGCTTTTCCTTCAACCAGGACCACTCTGCACTCCCTGATTCTGAAGAACAAACAAACAAAACCTTATTAAGTACCTGCAAAGAATAGCAAAGTTCAAAAAGAAGACATGGCCAACATCGGTTAGGAATTTACTATTAGGACAATATTAGAAGAATAAACTGTGTTTCATCTAAATATAAATAAAACTTTTTAAGTGATAGGAAAAGAAATGGGATCATTAATACTGGTTGAACACACTGACAGGAGTTGTTCTAATTGAGCCACAGATTCTGTGAAAAACAATGGATGGTCAAGTTCATGTTCGGTTTCTAATTTCCAAACTAGAGGGAGGGAGTTGGTTTCATGGAAGAACAGAACTACATCCCCTACTCTGAAACCCACATGTCAATCACAAGGATGAGCAGGGATGCAGGCACACAGGCTCTTCTGGTGAAAGCTAGCCTCCAACCACACAGATTGAAAAGACCACTGCCGGGTACCTTGAAGACACTAAGAAGAGTGGGTAAGTACTACAGAGAAATATGCAGAAGGAAATAGGGATTTAGATTTGGCTTGTATGTATTCTTTCCTCTTCGTTCAAAAGATGCTTTGAGCAATGACAATATATTCCATAGTAAGATATTAGGCTATGTTTACAAGCACAACAACCCATAAAGTTGTATTACATGGACAGAGTAGAAAGAAAAGTAGAATATATGTGTCCATTTGAATTTTTTCTCTCTCAAGAATCCTTGACTGTTCTTTAATAAATACGACTTAACTGTTTCACTGTCAATCTTGTTGAAAGACTTGTTGAAAAGCTGAGTTAATACAAGAAATGAAGGACAAGCAAAAATAACTATTTACATAAACTAGTTAAATATACATTTGAAGACTAAAAATTATTTAATTATCGCTGAATATTATACAATACCAAAGTCATTACCACAAAGTCTACCCCATGTAAAAATTTCTACAAATAGTGGGAATATGAGCAGAATCCAGCTACATTTGATTACTTTTTTTGTAATGTTCCTCAAGTGCAATTTAATAAGAATAGGTTTATACTCTAACTTCTGATCAATTACTTCTTACAACAAACTGTCTCATTGTAACAGCCTCTAGATAGGATCCATATTCTGTGGTTTGTTTTTGTAAATTTCCAGATCACTCAGTACTTACTTCAAGAAAATGCAGACTCCTGCTCCACAGTGAAGTGCATGAAAAATGCAAGCTCCAACCTCTTCCCCATTCACAATTTCTTGGCAGCAAATGTTCTGAGAGCACAGGATGGTCCCACAGAAAAGACAGAGAACCGGATGCTTTCGTTCATCATCCGCAGACCGTGGACACCTCAAAAGGGAAAGGAACATTTAATGTGGAGGAAAAAAAAAAAAAAAGCACCAAGTACTTAAGAGTGAAGGATGCTTTCCATCATTGGTCCTTTTCCACCAAGGGAAGCTCTTAAAACATGAGTACATTTAATTAGCTTATTCCTCTTTAATACTTCCTGTAAAGGGACTTACAATTTACAAAAACTTAATCTCATGATTATGTCTGTCTTGAAAATGAGATTTACTTCATTTAACATGAGTCAACTGCCTCCCTCTACTAGCTCAGTCAAGCTTATAAGCGTGATTTTTTTTTTTTCTGTGCTGGTTATGGAGCTTGAATTCAAGATTTCACACTCACCCTTAGCTCTTTCTACTCAAAGTTGGCACTCTAGCACTTGAGCCACAGTTCCACCTCCAGCTTTTGGAGGGGAATTGAAAATAAGACTCTCTCCAATTTGTCTGCCCCAAGCTAGCTTTGAATTCAATCCTTAGATATCAGCTAAGATTACAGGCATAAACTATTGGCACCTGGCTGGAGTGCTTTTTAAAAAAATTACATTATGGCCAGGCACCAGTGGTTCTCACCTATAATCCTAGCTACTCAAGAGGCTGAGACCTGAGGATCGTGGTTCCAAGCCAGTCTGGGCAGGAAAAGTCTGTGAGACTCTTATCTCCAATTAACCACCAGAAAACCAGAAGTGGTGCTGTGGCTCAAAGTGGTAGAACCTTGATTGAAAAAGCTCAAGGACAGCACCTAGGCCCTGGGTCCAAGGGCCACAACTGGCCAAAAGAAAAGAAAAAAAAAGAAATGAGAAACTGTGGCCTTTGAGTTAATGTACCCTTCTAGCTGAGAATCATAGCAAGTCTTAGGAAGGGAAAAAGTGAAAGAGATTACTCACTTAAACCATTTGTAGCCAAGAGCTGATGGCTCACACCTGTACTTCTAGCTACTCAGGAGGCTGAGAACTGAAGATCATGAGCCAGAACCAGCATAGGCAAGAAAATCTGTGACACTCAAAATTCAGAGACAGTACCCAGGCTCTGAGTTCAAGCTCCAGAACTGGCACAAAACAAAAACTTAAAAAAAAAAACAAACATTTGAGATCTGACAGTTTTGCATAGTGGTATGCTGGAGACTTGCTATATTTTCCAAAAGAGATACTGGTTGTCTTTAAAAGAAATCTCATGCTCCTCCTATCTCTATCTACACACAATGAGAAATAAGATTTATATGAACGCAAAAAGGTAGGAGATCAAGTGAGTTACCTTAGAGTCTGCGTTGAAGAACATCAGAAGAATCTCTAAGAGAGCTTTGATAATTGATTCTGAGACGCATTTTCTCAGGCAAAATGAGAAACCTGCCATTATTTATATAGGAGCAGAGGTACTATACACTATGACTCTGTACATAGCATTCTCCAAAGATGAGGGAGCTGCTTTTCATCTCCAGGGACTGCTCCAGAATATGTAGTCATCTAAATGCGCAGCTCAAATGTTTCATCTTTAAGGCAGGATATCTGAGTCTAAGTCACTAGCTATCCTACAGAGGAAAAACAACTGAGTGAAGTACACTTATTCCAGCTGCTTGGCAGCAGACATAGGATCCTAGTCTGAAGTCAGCAGACATAGGACCCTAGTCTGAGGTCAGCCTGGGCAAAAATTCAAGAAGGTAACAAGGTATAATCCCAACAACTTGAGAGGTGGAGACAGAAAGAATTTAGTCTGAGAATGGTCCAGGGTGGAAAGCATGAGAGACCCTATCTGAAAAATAAGCTAAATCATAAAGGGCTCTGAGTAAGGCTTAGAAGGCAGAAAATTTGCCTAGAAAGGAGAAGACTGTAAGCCACACTACTGTCAATGGGAAACAAAAATAATAAGCAGTGATAATCCAACAGCTGAGATGATTCACTCTAAAAGAGCAGAGAATCTGTCTTCATTTTTATTTGAAACCAGTCAGAGAAACATCATTCCAGAGAATCTTCACTGTTCAACTTTATAAATATACTAAAAGCTACTGTAATGAATACTTAATCATAACAAATTGTGTGTTATGTAAATTTCACTTCAATTAAAAGACTGACATTACCACAAGGAAGGATGCTCAACGCTCAGTTTGCGTTTTGAAAAGCCAAGTTAGTAGTAGTGAAGATGAAGTCACACACACATACACAGACACACACATACACAGACACACAGAGACACAGACACACAGACACACAGACACACACAGAGGTTTTACCTGAAATGAGAAGCTTGATTTAGGAGGCAGCTGTAGTCATCAGGAAGCTCTATCAAACTGTTTCTTTTTCTAGGGTACCTACAAATGTAATTGAAAAGACAGCTTTATAAGAAACAAGACTAAAACTAAAATAGGTGATAATAGGAAGAATATCTTCAAAATAACAAAAGGATTAATAACTGCAATTAAGAGTAAGCTCCATAGCTGAATAGACTAATTTCAAGCTTCTCAGCTTGAAACTTCCCTCAGATGGCTTTCTTCCCACTCAAGTCCCACTGTTTGCTAATACTAAGTTTTTTCTAGTTAGATTATAGACTGTCTAGGAAGGTAACCAAACAGAGTGGTTAAGAGCATAACTTTTTTTAAAAACACTTATTATTATCTTTAAGTTCCCATTCTACAAAACAGTATATGAATACAAGGTGTCTGACAACATTGTCACCCATCAAGAGCATAACTTTTGAAATGAGACAGAATGATTACAAATTCTAAATTCTCTGGTACATGACAGCCTGTGAACCTGAACCTATATTTCCTCATCTATAAACTGGGGTTGAAATATTATATTCCAATTATGGGTATATCATCAATTATGAGGCTGGGGGGGGCAGGGAGAAACAAATTAAATGAACTCATCAGTTAAGAATCATACTGACTTAAGAAATTTAAAACGTAAGTAAGGAAACATATTAAGTTCTGACCTCATTACCATTCAGTGATTTGGGTGCTGTGGTGTACATGCACACATACATTACAAAAGAAAGAGAGCAGGCTTCATGAAGGTGACATTTAAATTGTGGAAAAGGTTGATTCTGAAAGTCACAACATAGGAAGTTAAGAAGGCTAAAAAAAAGTTCTTTTGGCTAGTTGTAAGCATATAAGCAGAATGAGGATGCAGTTCTATTCCTATCATTCTCCAAGAAAAAAAGTAGCTTATAGAAATACTAAAACCCAGTGCCTTTTGCAGCTCCCTGATACCATCATTTGCCTTCTGATAGGTATGCAGTAGCTTAAGCAAGGTCTTCTCAAGAGGGGCCTCTGACAACTCAGAGGGAAATAAAGGATGCTCCAACAAAAAAAATCACTACATAGGAAGAGGCTGATTTAGGCAAAGATAACAGATAAACAGGAAACAAAGAACCAAGTGAAGAAAGAAGGTGGACTAGACAGCATACCCAACAAACCAACCAACTACTTTAGCACACATTTTATGGAGGGGGACGAGGTGGAAGGGCGTAAAACCAACCTGACCACAGTGCTTTTCTGCTGTAAACAGTTGAGTAAGATAGGATCAGCGCACCACCTGTGTGCAGAACCAAGAGAGAAGGCAAATGGATTATCAAAAGTGAAGCATGAAATTCATCTGTGAGCCATTTTCTCCAATTTTGTAGTCCTTTCTTTCCATATTCCCCCTTCTATGGTTATTTTAATTTTGTCTCTTTTCTTACATTCTTCCCTTTCTGTTTTCTATTTTAGTCCTAAAAAAGGTTTTGTTAATTAAGGTTTAACTAGAAAGACAGTAATTATTCTAAGTAAGTATGTAAACAAGAATTTAATATTAGGAAGTAGTAATAAAAGTGATGAGATCTGGGGTTTGCTGAGTGATGGAACACTTGCTTAGCAGGCACCCTGACTCTGAGTTCCATCCTGAAGAATGCTGAAAACATGAAGGAAATGTGAACAGGGGTGAATGAGGATGAATATAGTCAAAGTAGTTTGTTTGCATATATGAAAATACAACAATAGGCTAGGGACCAGTGGCTCACGCCTGTAATCCTAGCTACTCAGGTGAGGAGGCTGAGATCTGAGGATCACAGTTCAAAGCCAGCCTGAGCAGAAAAGTCCATGAGAATCTTTTTTTTTTTCTGGGTCGGTCATGGGGGTTGAACTCTGGGCTTGGGCCCTGTCCCTGCGCTCTTCAGCTCAAGGCGAGAGCTCTACCGCTTGAGCCACAGTGCCACTTCCGGTTTTCTAATGGTTTATTGGAGATAAGAGTCTCATGGACTTTCCTGCTTGGGCTGGCTTTGACCCGAGATCCTCAGATCTCCACCTCCTGAGTAGCTAGTATTACAAGCATGAGCCATCAGTGCTGGGCTTCTGTGAGATTCTTATCTCCAATAAACCAAAGAAAGCCAGAAGTGGTAAGTGGTAGAGCGCTCAGCTTGAGCTGAAGAGCCCAGGGACAGTGCTCAGGCCCAGAGTTCAAGTCCTACGACTGACAAAAAAAAAAGAATGGAGACATGTCACATGATCCCCCTTCCCTTGCCCCCACTGGAGGTGCAGGTCATAATGGGGTAGAAAGTTTTTCTGAAAAGAGACATAGTTCTGTCTAGAAAATTTAAGTGCTACAGCCAGGCGCCGGTGGCTCATGCCTGTAATCCTAGCTACTCAGGAGGCTGAGATCTGAGGATCAAGGTTCAAAGCCAGTCCAAGCAGGAAAGTCCGTGAAACTCTTATCTCCAATAAACCACCAGAAAACTGGAAGTGGGGCTGAGGCTCAAGTGGTAGAGCGCTCGCCTTGAGCTGAAGAGCTGAGGGACAGTGTCCAAGCCCAGAGTTCAAGCCCCACGACAGAAAGGAAGGGAGGGAGGGAGGAAGGGAGGGAGGGAGGGAGGGAGGGAGGAAGGAAGGAAGGAAAATTTAAGTGGTACATCTTTTTTTTTTTTTTGCCAGTCATGGGGTCTGAACTCTGGGTCTGGGCACTGTCCCTCAACTCTTCAGCTCAAGGCTAGCACTCTACCACTGGAGACACAGTGCCACTTCCGGCTTTTTCTGTTTATGTGGTGCTGAGGAATCAAACCCAGGGCCTCATGCTTGCAAGGCATGCACTCTACTGGTGAGCTACCTTCCCAGCCCCTAAGTGCTACATCTTTGATCTAACAAATGGTTTTCTTTATCTCCTCTGTCACCCTCTTGAGATGTGTGCTACTCGGTGAGATGTGTATCTGTTTTGGAAACAGTTGTAATTTGGGTTCCTTTGATTCTTAATTTGATTGTGATTTTCTATTTGCTAGCAATAGCCAGCCACTATCCTGGAATGAAACACCAGTTGTGGAGAAGATGAATGAAACAAATATATAGTAGCCATCAAGGTACAAGCAGAAATTCCATCTGCTTACATGCTAGTCTTATTCCTACTCAAGTCTACAAAATAGGAATTGCCTGTGCTTTTGCCACCCCTTCTATCAATGCTAATCAATCTCAAAGCTAAGCAAATAATTACACTTTGTATTTTCACACTGGGCATTTGGGAGACTGTGTGGCAGAATCGTGAATTTGAGGACAGCCTAGGCTACATAGTGAGATTTTTGCCTCATAAGTGTGTCAATAAATCAAAAATGAAAATAAAAAATTTAAATTACATAGTAACCCAACAATGACATTATTATCCCTATAGTACCTCTGAAGCAAAGGTTTTACAGTATCCCAATATTCCTGGAAAAGCAGGAACAAATTTGTAGGTAAAGATAGATAGCTACATAATGCACTGTACTCTCCTTCTGCAGAATCTGCAAGAAAATGAAAAAATATAATAAATACATTATTTTTCTCTAGTCAATATCCTAAGAGTGTCACTTTATGCTCATTTTTCTACAATAGAGTATATTTTATATTCTGTGTAACAGTGGGCAAATAGCCAAATGATTCTTTTACAAATTAAGTCCTTTCAGTTGTTTTGTTTTTGTGTTTCGGGGCTTGAACTCAGGTCCTGGGTACTGTCCTTGAGCTTATTTGCTCGTCGCTAAAGCTCTACCACTTGAGTCACAGCTCCACTCCCAGCATTTTGATGATGAGTCAGAGATAAGTCTTACAGACTTTCCTGCCTGGGCTAGCTTTGAACTGTGATCCTCAGATCTCCGCATCCTGAGTAGCTAAGGTTATAGGCATGAGGTGTGAGTATGCGTGTATACACATGTACTTGTACACATCTGTGGGTGGTACTGGGGACAAAACTCTGGCCTCATACATGGCAGACAAGCACTCTATCACAGATCTTCACATCCCACTCAAAAAACTATGCCATCCAGGATCTAGACCTTAGCTGCCTCCGAAAACTACTACTCTTCTCTCAACCATGCTCATTAGGTTTCCAGTCATACTCATGTTTTGGGTGTCTCTGCTTATGCCAAGCAAACTCTATGTGTTTATTTTTCCATCTGCTTAGGAATTCTCTTCATCTTCATCCTATCCATGCAGTTCTTTCTTCAGTATCTCTCTAGGGGAAACCTTCCATGGCTACCTACTGCAAGGCGCACTCTGGCCCCCACAGTCTCTAGTCCCATGACCAGCTTTATTTTTCTTTGCAGTATTTTTTTATAATTTTACATTATATAATACATAATTATCTTTATATTTAGTCCCCTCTCAATGTAGGGACTTTCTTTACTGGGGACTACTAGATCGTGTGTGTGTGTGTGTGTGATCGTGTGTGTGTGTGTGCGCGCGTGTGTGTGTGTACATGCAACATATTTATACTGGCCAGAGTTTGGTCAAATATTTCACTGAACTGAGTTCAAGACAGAAAAGTTGAAAGCCAGTAAAGGTGACTGATTAGTTTATTCTCAAAAGACAAAAAGAAGAATCTACTTATAGTTTTGGTGACTGTTCCAAAATCTGACTTTTACCCACAGAAATCCACCAAGAAGCCTTTTTACTTTGGTCTAAATTTAGAGGCAAGTATATGAGGATGAAAATTATCCTGGGGCTTAAATATCCATAGTCTTAGTTGATTCTAACAGGCCTTTTCTACTAGTAATTGCATTATTTAATGTAGCTTTATGTTCAAAATTCAAATAACAGAATATCCAAGTCTTTCTCCCAGCCAAATAGTGCTCCTTCCTAAAGACCACTAATGTCTGTACTTCCTGTGCAACGTATCACTTATATTCTTTATTTCAGCATTTTATAAATGTAGGCACATAAATTATACATGCCAAGAGCAGCATTTGCTGATAAGGCTAATCTGGTTTTGGACTTCACTTTCCACATTTACCAGGGCAGAACACGTAAGACTGAAGTGAAGATGGATGATGGATAGAGCAGAGAAATAATTCTGGCTGCTCTAATCTTGCATTTTTGAGATTAAAGATGAGAATAAGAAGTCTCCATGTGCAACTGCGACTTACTGGTAAGCAGTTCTTCAGGCGGAGTTACCCCAAGTAAGTAGTGAAAGAAGAGCGCGGCGCAGCGAAGGTAAGGAGTAATGCCATTCTTCAATGCGACCCACAAATACCAGCCAGGAGTACTATACCCAACGCAGCTAGGAGACAGTATTCCAGAAAAGAACAGAACAGTTATCAGATAAACCTCTAGATTTTAAGCATATCCACTGTATTTAGTATTTACAAATTTACCAACCACCAAAATTTTAAACATTTAAAATTAAAATAGCCAGGTGCTGGTGCTGAGCCACTGGGCCTGTAGCTACTCAAAAGCTGAGATCTGAAGCCAGCTTGGGCAGAAAAATTTTAACTAATTTTTTAGAAACAAAAAGGTTCAAAAGCTATATTGCCAGCCAGGTGCTGGTGGCTCACGCCTGTAATCCTAGCTACTCAGGAGGCTGAGATCTGAGGATCGAGGTTCAAAGCCAGTCCAAGCAGGAAAGTCCGTGAAACTCTTATCTCCAATAAACCACCAGAAAACTGGAAGTGGGGCTGAGGCTCAAGTGGTAGAGCGCTCGCCTTGAGCTGAAGAGCTGAGGGACAGCGCCCAGGCCCAGAGTTCAAGCCCCACAACCGACCAAAAAAAAAAAAGCTATATTGCCATTAAATTGAATAAAGATGTGGAATTATTAGGTCAATACTAATGCAGACTGGACTAATGAACAGTTACTCACCCATTTGTATATTGTGAAACTTCTGCAAGGAAAGAGGATGCAGAATGAGCCTCTTCACTGTCTTCTTCAACTGGGGCCAGAGGGAGGCCTGAAAAAGAAATCCTACAAGCTGAATTCACGGATTCACTGTCAAATCTACAAATCACACACTCTGCCCCTCACCTTAAGACTCTGATTAAGTCACTTAAGTTTGCTCAACTTTAGTTTTATTACATTAAAATGCAGATCAAATGCCTCCCTTGATGTTTTCTATGAGGCATGGTTACAGCATTGCTGCTGTATGCTACTGCTCTGTTGCTTTAAAACACTTTTGCTTAAGCATTAATTCTTTTGAAAGGTCACAATTAAAATAACTCTACGATGGGGCTGGGAAGGTGGCTCAGTGGTAGAGTGCTTGCCTTGCATGCATGAGGCCCTGGGTTCGATTCCTTAGCACCACATAAGCAGAAAAAGCCAGAAGTGGCACTGTGGCTGAAGTGGTAGAATGCTAGCCTGGAGCTGAAGAGCTGAGGGACAGTGCCCAGGCCGAGTTCAGGCCCCATGACCAACACAAAAATAAATAAATAAAATAATAATAAATAACTCAGAGATTTTGTGTTATCTTAGATGCTAGTATTTTCATTTTCCAAATGAGAACTGGACTAAGAGTATACGCATCCACCATTGTTGCACCTTATAAACTAGTTTCATGACCTTAAATAAGGAGAAGTCATCATTTTCATGAAATGCTTAATAAATTTAATTTAGATTCCCTCCATTCAAGTTTTTTAGCTAACTTAACACTTTTAGGGCTTTAAAACTCAAACCACATTTTAAAAGGACATTCACTGGAGTCTCTGTTCCACTGTCTGTATCTTTATCTTATTACCCTAGCAGCAATCATTTAAGTAAATATGAACATATACAATCATATATACATATAAGACATCTAACAAGGAAGTGGTACTGTGGCTCAAGTGGTAGAGCGCTCGCCTTGAGCTGAAAAGCTCAGGGATAGCGCCCAGGTCCAGAGTTTAAGCCCCATGACCAACAATAAACAAAAACAAAACAAACACAAAGGCACTGTTACACCCACTCTTCTGCATGCTGCTTTTTCCACTTACTAGAGTATACCCTGCAGAGCATTATATATCAGTAAATCTTGTTCATTCCAAACTGGTCCTGAACTCCTGGACTCAAATGATCCTTCAGTCCAGCATCCTACCCAGCTTATAGCTGGTTCTACAGACATGTGCCAACATACTTGGCTGGGATAGAAGCAGAAGTGATGGATCAAAGGGTGGATGCGTATGTAATTGTTGTATTTTAGTTAATATCATCACTTTCTCTATCTTCCTCCTGTAGATATTGGAATTTTTAGCATTCCTTATTACTTAGTGATACTCAGACCTGGACTTAGGGAAATTTCTGAAATTTGATTGTTTCTTATCACAAGGAAATTTACATCAAGGAAGGAAGAACAGAGAGGGGTAAAGCAAGGAAAGGAGTGGCACAATAAAATAAAAAACAAGTAATAATAAAATAAGCCAGTCTGATGAATACTAGTAGACAAAAGTACTCTTATTTTGGTTAGAAGAATAGAAAATGGTTCCTTGTACAAGCTTAATGAAGAGTTGAACTTTTCAGCTCAGGTCAGGAGAAACTTGGAGAATAAGGATTTTTTTTTTAAATGGGAAAAGTGGATCTAAATGGCTTCCCTACATATCTACAGAGCAGTTACAAATGAGACAACCAGTAGCTTCAGCTAGTTATTGTTTTCTCAGCTTAAGTCTAGCTTTCCCAGTTTAAATGGAATCTGTAAAGAAGAAAATGAATAATCATTCAATAGAAGACACTCTTCAGAAATACCTATTATGATTAATCATACACCTTATTCTGCCAATAAAGCAGGGGCCGATGTTATTTCCAGTCAATATCCACACAGGAGCTTTACCTGTATCCATTGTAAGAAGTATCTGAAGCATGTGTGCCATGGTGATCAAATGGAAGAGATAAAGGTGGTTATAGGAAGAACTAATTGATGAAGGCTGCAGATCAACAGTGTCATCCCAGTACAAGGACGGGAATGCTAACACAGTACCTACCTATGAGAGAAAAATGGACGTCAACAGGGACAACAATGAAAGACTACACAAGTTATTATCAAGACTAAGTAGAAAAGGCACCAGATACTGTACTGCATTTGTGGTTCCTTTAATTGCTACCATATTTTTCCTAGGCATTCAACAGAATATCTTGGCACAAAATCATCAGAAAATAGGTTAATCCTTTACTTAGTAAGTACTTTAGATCTAGGTAGTGGTTTTCAACATGTGGTTTGGAAGACTGAACATTACAATCATGGGAGAGCTCTTACAATGAGTGACATGGACACACAGGCCTCAACTCGGGCCTCTAACCAAATTAGAATCTCTAGGGACAGGGCCTAGTTACCAGTATTCTGTTCAAACACCCCCAAGGTATTCCATACGAGTCAAGGTTGTTAACAACCCAGTAGAGGCCTAGACAATGAGCAATGGAGGTGCCGGCTCCCAATCTCATCATGGCTTTCTTCAGAGAAGTTGGTTTAAAGAGGTAAGATCTGTACAGGATGAGAACATCTGTCGCCTGTCCACAGGTGTTACAGAGAAGCCTAGATACATCTATAGCCTGGTCCCTATTACTAAATAATGATGTCATTCACTATCTATAATAGAAACAAGGCAAGAAAATGGGGTGGGAAAGAAGCATAAGATTGCCTAGGAAAGTTTCCTATATATATCTATATATAGATATATATATATAATAAAATATATATATATAAATATAACAAACTTAGAACCAATTGTAAGCTTAAAAACAAATGTTACTTTATTTTTAATGCTATCTTGATCATCTTAGTCCAATCTATACCTGTTTATAAACAGAATGAGTAAAGGCTAAACTTCACAGGTTGAACATCAATAAGTTATTACCTTGAATAGAAAGCATGACTTTGAATGAGGAAAACTTAAACATATCAATTTAGTGGCTTTCAAAAAAATTTTACTGCCGGGCGCTGGTGGCTCACGCCTGTAATCCTAGCTACTCAGGAGGCTGAGACCTGAGGATTGAGGTTCAAAGCCAGCCCGGGCAGGAAAGACCGTGAAATTCCTATCTCCAATAAACCACCAGAAAACCAGAAGTGGCGCTGTAGCTCAAGTGGTAGAGCGCTTGCCTTGAGCTGAAGAGCTGAGGGACAACGCCCAAGCCCAGAGTTCAAGCCCCACAACCGACAAAAAAAAAAAAAAAAATTTTTACTAAACACTTACCAAAACATGAAACAGATCTATAGACAAAAGGCATGGTGTTTCTTCTGATTTTAGGTTTGGAAGAATAACTAAAACAAACAAAATACAATTCAGTCAGAAAGACAGCAATGTAATTAAATAAAATGCAAGCTAGAAGTATAAAATTTAGAAATGAGTACAACATACCTTTAAGATCTGAGAACTATCATAAAAGATAAATTGAATTTATGAAAGGATATTAGAAAGGCTTAGATACAATTTAAAGTCTGGAAGATAAGATCTCAGAGGAAAAGGTAAATGAAGCCAGGCACCAGTAGCTCACGCCTGTAATCCTAGCTACTCAGGAGGCTGAGATCTAAGGCTCAAGGTTCAAAGCCAGCTTGGGCAGGAAAGTCCATGAGACTTTTATCTCCAATAAAAACCACTCGAAGACAGGAAGTGGCGCTGTGGCTCAAACGGTAGAGTGGCAGGGACAGCACCCAAGCCTAGAGTTCAAGCCCCACGACCAACCAAAAAAAAAAGGTAAATGAATTACAAAATAAACTAAAGATTGCCCAAGAAATATTTGCTGGGAAGAGTATAAGCTTATTTTATGCATGAGGCCCTGCTTTCAATAATTAGTAGCTCTTTTACCCCTAAATACTGAGTAAGTTAGGACAGTTTCTTTTATAAAAGTTCCCTCTATCACTTTTTCTCCACTAATTGCACTAAATGTTCTATGATATATAATATCTGTCTCTCAAAGAAAAGCCAGGCGCTGGTGGCTCAAGACTAGCTATTCAAGAGACAGAGATCTAAGGATCAAGGATTGAAGTCAGCCCAGTAAGACAAATCTAAGACACTCTTATTCCAGTTAAATAGCAAAAAGCCAGAAATGAAGCCATTACCCAAGTAGTAGAGTACTATTAGCCTTTAGTGAAAAAGCTAAGTGAGAGCTAGAGGCCCTGAGTTCAAGTCCCATTATTGACATAGAAAAGCAAAAAAAAAAAAAAAAAAAAAAAAGAAAACCATATTAACCTGAGTTCTAAGAGTCCCATACTTAGCATTTCTATTATTTTATTGACTTGCTGAAATAAAATTATTGTTGTACATGGCT